AGGCCACTGGGTCCAAGGCAGCAGTGCTTGGCCTGCACGCTCGCACAACACTGGGCTTGGCGCCTCTCCCCAGAGCTCTCCGGGCGGGACCCTGACCTCTCCCGCTCAGCAAGTACCATGGTTGCTTATTTGATGACCTAGGTCAGAACCACTGGGCCTGTCTTAGTCGCCTCCACATCTCTGTCCAGAGCGCCACCCCAGCCACGGAGGACCGGGAGGACCAGGGCCAGCTTCCTTTTCAGGACTCTCAGCACCCACGATTCTTCCCCGTGAAGCAGGAATCATCATGACTGGAGCCGAGAAGGGGACGGTGGTGTGAGGGCCCACGGCTCAAGCCTGGATGGGCCCTTTGAGCGGCTGAACTGGGAGAAGAGGTTGATTCCTGATCCTTCTTTCCCAAGTTCATCATTTATCTCCAGTGGTCTTTAAGCCCCTCTTGCATCTCATTCTGTAGACCTGGCCCACTCGCTCCTACCCTATGGGACAACATGCCTCAGGGACCCAGCTCAGCTTAATACAACTCACTCATGAATGAGACAAAAGCCTGTGGTTGTAGGCAATGTCAGACCTTTTCTCAGTCTCTTTGCGCAAAATGTACCGGAAATGTGTTAGAATCTTCTAGAAGAAATACCCACGTGAAAGCTTGTCATCGGCCCTTGTGTTTATGCGCCTTGTCGGCGTTGTCCCGTGGACGCGTGCGCGAAGAAGAAGCACTCGGTGCTGGATGGGTGGGGATGAGTGCACAGCTGCCTCGGGGCTGCCGGCCATGCGGGTCAGCAGGCTGTCAGTGCCGGAGCCCTGCCCAAGCTGGGCAGACTGCTCAGCCCTCGCTCCAGAGCTCTTGAGAAGGGGCCAGGAAGGAGCCCTCGTAGAGCACATGCTGCTAACCAAAGGTTGTGCCGTGGTCCAAACCCACCAGCCAAAGGTGGCCGTGGGCTTCTATAAATATGCAGCCTGGGTAAACCTATGGGGCGGTTCTACCTTGAGGTTGTTCTCAGTCAGACTGGACCCAGCAGCAGTGGGGAGGGCATCGGGGTTAGCGTCCTCACCCCACTGATCATCTGGCATCGCAGTGGTGTGTGGCCGCCTGACAGGAACCCTCTGCTCAAGTGGCCCTGGGTCACCATGGGCACCAGCAGCCTCTTCACTTCTACCCAGCATGGTCCCTCCCTAGAATCCTTGGAGGCCTTTCCAAGGCAAGGTCACACAGATCGGAAGTGTCAGATTCAGAGCTAGAGTCCAGGTCCCCGGCTTCTAGTGCAGCCTTTCCAACCCCCGCCCTCCTGGACTTCCCCCTGGGGAGCCCACTGCAGAGTCTGCCAGAGCCCCACCCTGTTACTGAATGTTGGACACACGTCAGTGTCGGTGCTGAGGAAAGGGCCCCCGAGTGGGTAGAAGTACGAGCGACAGCCTCGGTCTTTCTCTGCAGGAACATGCTATTCGCCTGTGCTTCTTGGCTGAGACTGGAACCCTGGCAGCATTGGCGCGCCACACCAGTCCTCCTTCAAAGTGGCCAGGCACGGCCACCAGTGGACTGGCTGGTGGGGTCTCACTTCTCCTGCCTGCGTCTCTTCTGGGCCCACAGCCTTCTAGCTCGCTAAGGTTCCTCTAGGGAGATGCTGTAGCTTAGAAAACTGACGCTCGGCGAGGGTCAGTAACTCACTCCAAGTCACACAGCCATCTATGGCTAAAGCCAATTTCCCTACATCCTCTTGACTTCTTACCATATGTATTTATTTCATCGTATAGCCCCATATTGCAGCAAAATTCCAAGCAGCCAGCCCCTTTTCAGAATACCTTCACCTGGAAGGAAGTAGGTGTCAGGTGTACCGCCCCAGCCACCCACAGTGTGACCCTGTCGATGTCCAGCATGGGCCTCTCTGTGCTCGGCTCTCCCCTGCCCCCGTAGAGAAGAAAGAATGAACATCTCTCCCACAGGGCTGACCCCGCAGGAGGGGCCCACACTCACCTTAGTTTCTGGAACCCTCCACCTGCCCAAACAGAAAGAGCTGGTCTCCAGGGGCCATGCCTCATTTCAGGCCCTGGGGTGACTGCTCCACAAGGGACATAGGCGAGAAGCCAGGTCTGGAGGCCAAGTGGTTGGACCAGGAGACGCCGGTGGTGGTGACGGTGTGTGCTCATTACAGGGAACAGCAGCAACCTCCAGGCAGAGCTCTGCCACAAGTCCAGGCAGGACCTGGCCCCCAGCAAATGCCACAGCACCAACCAGGATGCCCGGAAGGAGACCAGCAGCATGTGGGGCCTGATGGTGGTGGCCCAGCTGCTGGCCGGCATCGGGACAGTGCCCATTCAGCCCTTTGGGATCTCCTATGTGGACGACTTCGCAGAGCCCAACAACTCCCCGCTGTATATCTGTGAGTGTGTGCC